CTTCAGTTTGTTGGGTTATTAACCTTTATTTATATATTTATATATATATTTATACATGTACAGTGTAAGTTGGCTCCGAGAGTTGCTCGCTCTTGCATCAGTTGCCAAGGCTGTCCTGAAGTTCTTCTTGAAGTTTTGGGAAGCCAACTTTTAAAGCCCCAATAAAAGCCCACCGTAGGCTAATCTGGTTTATATGCATTTTTAAATATGTACAAATTTTGTAAACCAAATAAGGTTTGTATGTACCCAAGATCAGCCACTAAGTACTTCAAATAGAGAGCTTGTCTCTTGTAGGTACCCAAATATTTACAGTGTGACTTGAGTAAGGAATTAGATATCCCACTCAGCCCTGCCAAATTAATTAATGGTCTATTTCACTTATTTAGGTAGATGTCCGATCTAGTGAAACCTTAAGAACACCCAGGGCCTGGATAGTGCCAGGCAAAAGCATGGAATACTTGTTAGAAATTACCATTGCTTTTTTCAGATAGCCAGCAACAGCCCACTGACCTGCAGGCTTAAAGAACAAAGATTTAATGGGGAAAAAACCCCTAAACTCCATCAAAACCAGACATTTTAAAAGGAAAAGGTGGTGATGATGCTTAATTTGGTGCAAAGGTGAAGGCTGGGCTGAGAGGATGAGAGTGGCCTGGGTGGGTCACTGCACAAATGTCTCTTGCCTTCCACTCCTTCCACTTTTTGATGAGTGGCCAATGAAAGCTTACCGCCTTTTTTTTCCCTCTATTAAATCTGCACAAGTGTTAACTTTTCAGAGACTCTGAGATTCAAAGTGCTGTACCCAACACAGAGCCCTTTTTTCTCCTGCCTTTGATTTTTATGCACATTTCAAGCTGATCAGAGAGTACACGGGGGTTTTGTTTAGGCTTGGTGCTGGGGTTTTAGCTTTCAAGCTGCCAGCTTTCCCAGGATTATTGCCTATTAACTGCCTCTTCATAAAGGTGCTGACCAAAGAAAGGAATATTTTTTCCTTGGTGCTAGACTTCCAAACTCGATTGGCTTTATTAAATGGAAAGACAAATAAATTCAAACCCTGCTCTGAAATACCTTAGCACAGGACACCAGCAGTTAGAGGTCACCAAGTCACTTGGACTTCCTCCCAACAAAAGCAACATCATTTTTCAATGTCCAGCCCCACAGCATCCCGCAGTGCCTCACACAATTCCTTAGTGTCCACACCTGCTCCGTGCCACTCGGAGCAGGGCTGAGCCTGTTTGGATGGGGCAAGATCAGTCCTCGAGAGAATTCTGTTATGGTTTGGAGCCATGTTTGATCTCTTAAAGCAGAGCTGGATAAAAGCTTGTGGTTGGGATTTCCTTGTTCTGTTATTAAAGCAAAAAAATCCCCATTGAACAAGGAAAAGAAACTTTCCTTCACTTTGTGAAGGATGTTACAGGTCAGAAGGTAATTTCAGCACTGTTTACCTTTATGGCATTGGAAGAACAAATCCCTTTGTTTTTTGCTTTAGTTTCCCATGAGATGGGGGTAGCAGCCCTTCTCTGGTTGCACAGCTCCCTTTGGATGTGCCAGTGTTGTGTCCATGCTTTAGGACATGATCCACAGGCTTCTGTGTCATTTTTCAGCATGGAAATACTGGTATTAAGGAGGATGTAGACCCTTCTGCAGCATTCCTAAAGATTTTGCAGCTGGTCTGCACATGGCAGAATGACCAGACAGTACCATTTTTGGAGAAAAGTGAACATGCCCAAAATCAGTGTAACTTTTCTGCCTGCCCTGTACATCTGTCATTCACTTCAGTGCAAGTCACTGTTTCCTGAAGTGAACCTCTTGTATCCTCAGTAGTTTGGTACTATGTGTAGGGATGGGAAGTGGTGGAGGTTGAAGACTTGGCACATTTATGGGGTTCAGCTGTTGAATCTGTAGATCTGCAGCCAGGGGTGCACACTCTGAACTCCATGTTAGAATGCTGACTCAGAGAGGCAGCCAGGGGCAGGAGAGGGGATGAGGACAGATGTTCCATCCTCACAGTGCAGCCCTACTCTGCTTGCCTTCCATTTCCAAGGTGTGTGGGCTGTAAGCCCCACTTCTGGATCCTTTTGCCTCGGGCAGATCTCCTAGTGTGAATAATGTCTCTGTGGTGTTTTGTTTGAGGGATTGCAAAGGCATCTCTCCCTGTGTTTAATTTTCTGTCTTCTTCCAGACTTCCCTCTGTAGTGTTTTTTCTGGAAAGCCCATGCTCTGCCAGTCTTTTGGCACCACTACAGGTTTCTCCATGCTAGAACCCCCTTGGCAAAAAAAATGCAGGAGGTGACCTGGTCCCTCAGACAGAAGGGAAAGAAATAATCCAAGAAATAACCTCGTGGAAGAAGAGCCATCTTGAGCATAATTTATTATTTGCTATGGGCTGGGTTCTTCCATTCCTTGAGTGAAAGAGAAGCCTCTCACCCAGCCCTCAAAATCGAAGGCATGTTATGTCTTCTGATTAATATTCACTCAGTTATACGGAGTGTGTTTATGTTTCTCATGTTAAAAAATGGGAGGGGAAGGGAAAAAAAAAAAGGGAATCTGAGGTTAGTGTTTTGCTGGAAAAATATCAAGACTTGATTGGCAATATCCCACTAAACCACAAGTTTGTAGGAGAGAAAACAAACCCATTGGATTTTCCAAACTATGCCTGTGTGCTTTATGAAAATGTGTCCCATATAGGTCACTTACACTCTTATTATAGCTGTGGCAAGTGTACATATAATTGAAACACGGAAATACTACCCCATGCTGCTCAATGAATGAAGGAGAAACAAATCTTTATTATTCCTGGGTTCAATATAGGAACACTATTGTCTCTTTTTTTTTAATGTATTTTTTTTAATTTTTTTTTTTTTAGGGCCGGTTGTAGCTTTCAGATGTATTTTATTGTCTGTGGGAACATGTGTTTTACAGACCTGTCATGTGAAAGCCATTAGCAAGAGGAACTGGAGGGGTAACAATGAGCCACGTAACCGTGGTGTGTCTACTCCCCGAGTTCAACCCCGTGCCGCCGCTCCGTGCGCGCGCGAAACCGGATCGCGCCCGGCGGCGTTAGCGCTTCTCCCCTGCCATTCCTCCTCGGGAAACCTAAGGATTTTTTAAGTGGCCCATTAAAATGGGATTGCTGGCATCACAGGCAGGCTTCTGGGGCCAAGCTGGCTGGGCATCAAAACGGTGAAATCGCGGAATGAAGATCAGCTGGATTCACACGAGATGTCCGGTTTTATTTACCAAATCTGAGCTGGGCGGGCGGTTCTGGAACTCTTCCTCGCTGGTTCACACATGTGGTGGAAACTGTCCTGCCGTGCCAAGGAGCTCAGGGCCCAGAACTTGCAATTAACCCATTTCCAGGGTTTTTGAGAGGATCTCAAAGGGGCCCTGAGCAGTGGCCTAGACCACTACTGAGTACCTGAAAATTTTACTTCAGTATGTGTTGTCCCTGCTCACTGGTGATGGAGTTTTTTCTTAAGACTAACAAAACCCTGTAGTAATCCTGGCTTAGGCAAACGCATTAACATATAGGAAAAGCAGCCAAAGGGGATTGCGCAAAGTGAAATCCAGAGAGTGGTTCATGTGGAGAACATGGGGAACATTATTTTGGTGACACTTCTGAGCAACATGCATGGTGCCCTTGCTAATCACATCTAGCAGGTGGTGTTCACTACAAATGTGCTGTGGACAACTTTGGGTCAGGTCCAACAGTGCTTCATTTTTTATTTATTATTTTTATTCATTTTAGAAGGAAAATCCCTGTGATGTCTTTGACTGCTAGCTGTGTAAACAAACCCACAGATACTTAAGCAAGTTAGTGGTCGACAAGTATTCCCTAATGCCTTCGGTAGGATCTGGGTGTGAGACCTGTTGTCTTGGCCCAAGGACAGCTGGAACCACTGTGCATTTGTTTTTCCCCTTACCTGGGTTTCGCTCTGCAAGTGGGAGGAGGGTTTCCTGTACCTCGTGGCTTGTGATTTACTCTGAACATGGGTTTCAGGGAATTTGGGGCTTGGTTTTGTGGGGATGTAGTGTTCCTCTTGATGATGGGCTTAACAGCAAAGATGGATGGGGAAACTGAGGCAAAGGGAAGGAGGGTGCCCTGACCAAGGTGACACTGTGGCTGTGAAACACCTTTCCAGGTTTGAGGCAGGGCTGTATTTGTCTGAAAAACTTTAAAAAATATGGATGTGCCACAATTTCCAAGTGTGCCCCCCATACTGTGTGTCCTGACCCATGGTCTTGAGCAGATCTGCACCCTGCCTGGTGCAAAGATCCAGCCAAGCTGTACAGACACTGGAATCCTGCACAGAGGGTTCCCAGATAGTATTTAAAACCCAGATTTCACGTGGCTTTATTGTGACTGAAGGTGAACAGGCTCGGATGGGAGTTCATCAGCTTTTGTGGATGCTCCAATCCTTGCATGGCTGGGTGTCCCACGGCTGCCCAAAGCACATGGTTGGTGCATTAGTAGGTACAAACAGGAAGCTGTCAGTACAAAGAGGAGGGAGCCAAGGAAGGCTTCAAAGGCAGGGAAGTGATGGGGATGGAGAGTAGCTGGCCAGGTGGGAGAGAAGCCCTGCGGATACTCGATCCTGCCGTGTTTGTTTGCACAGCTCTGGGCTGCTCTGCCCGGCGCACTCGGAGGAGCACCGGGCCCTCCCCGGAGAAAAGTGCCAGATTGGTTTTCATGGCCTTTTGCAGAGGGATTGCTCCAGGGGTCTGTTCCTGTAAGTTAATATTTGCAGCGCACAGGGCTTAACTGGAACCAGGCTGCGCAGACATCTGATAACCATAACAGAGGAGATGCTTTTTCCCTGCAAGACCAGCTTGGAAAAACAAATCCCAATGCTATTCCCTTTAGAAAGATAGCGATATGGAAAGAAAAGCACCAGGAATGGTTTGCAAGGGGTTTTCTAGTAGAATCTTGGGGGTTTTTTTGTGTGAACTGCTTGTTTTTGCCTGTATTGCTGATGGGTTTGGTTGTCTCCCCTTCTTTGTAGCCGGCTTGCCCTTCCTCATCATCGAGACAAGCACAATCCAGCCCTACCAGAGGGGCTTCTACTGCGACGACGACAGCATCAGGTACCCGCAGAAGAACGTGGAAACCATCAACGACGCGGTGCTGTGTGCTGCAGGCATCCTCATCGCCATCCTCGCGGTAAGTCCCACCTCCAAAACCTCCTCCTCTATCCCAGGAGGGGTTTTTTGGCACCTCTTTGTCCTGCTAATGCTGCCACGGTGTCTACCCGGTGCACATCTCTTCTGCGATTGTTTGACTTTTGTAAGCGTGGAGTTGCAGACATTTACAAATGAAGGCTTGTAATGAGAGGAATGAGATTACTCTTGAAGCCTGTAAACAGGCCCAAAGCTGTTTGGGCAAGTCTGCGAGCTTCACAAGAACTTTTTCACCCTCCAGTAGGAGTTCAGAGTAGAGGCAAAAACACTTGAGTGTCAGTAAGGACTTGGCATGGTTTGTTGCTATTCAAATAACTCATGGTATTTGCCTATTTTATAAGGTTTAAAAAACAAAGAAAGGATACATCTTTTCAGCTAACCAGTGCCTGGAAAATTTAACAGGTTAGTATCAGGTTTTTAAGAGATTGCATATTACAGCCATTTTTAAAAGACAATTAAAACCTTCCATGGAGAGCATATTCCCAGGGTCCTCACTGTAAAATGTCCCACCTTCCCAATGCCTCTTCTTTTTCCTTATGCCAGTTTTTCTAGAGCTGTGCTAGAAAATGATTGCATGGCAAGAGCTTTATTTGTCAGCCAGAAAGCTGAATTCAGCCCTTTGGTTGAGCCTCCTGATGCCCATGTGTGTCTGGTCTGGATCAGAAGACAAGAGCTGTCTCCAGGTTGTTGCTTAAACACTTCCAGCTAAGATGAAATTCCCCTATGAAAAGTACCTACATATTTTTCCTTCTCACCTGCTTCCAGAACAGCTCAGGTGCTTTCCCAGAAGTGCCACCTTCCTCTTGCTCCTTCAGCTGGGAGGGATGGAGATGGGGAGGTCAGAAGCACTTGTTCTCCTTTCACCTTTCCTTTCATGGAATGTCATGGGCAGTAGATATTTTAGGATGGCACAGTGCCTGCTTTGGTAGTACACCATCCTCAGCCTTGTGTCATGTGAATAACTCCATCATTTCCTCATCTCTCCTTCATTTCCTCATCCCTCCATCATTCCCTGACCACATACACACACTCAGCAAAGCAAGTCCCCAAAATTTCCCTGTCCCTCTGCCCCCTCCTTCTCCAAAACAAGCCCATAGGTGCCATGCCCCCAATTCTATAAACAGCAGAATTTCACCCTGCAGGTGAATGACCCCGAGTGTGGAAAAGCCATAAAAATTAAATGAAAAAGCCTCTCATTTTCGCATTACTGCCGGAGCTATCAGCACACCAGCTCCATGCAGAGTGTGCTTCTGATCCCTAATGAGGCAGTGGCAAATACAGGAGTTGGAACAGAAACTGGAAACATAATCAGCTGCCTGTGTGATCCATCAACTCTCTACCACGAAATAGCAGGTCAATTAAAAGAGAATGAAAATCCCCAAAGAATTGGATGTTTCTGCCCTGGTTTCACTGTGCCCACAACAAATGTAACTTAATAAGGTAAATTCAAAAGCTCAGTTATTTGCTGTTGAGTGACACAAATGGCTAACGAGGAACTGAAGCAACAGATTTCTTTGCTATGGCAGCCTGCGTGGAAAATTCAAGTCAGCCTGACCTCCTTTTTCAGATGTAACCCAGATACCAGAATTACTGTAGCATAATAGGAATTCCTTCCAAATCCACAGAGCACTGAGCGCGTTCCTTTTGCTGCTTTGGAAGGCAGGGCAGTGGTTATGAGCACTTCCAGGGAGCTGGCTTTTGGGATGGAGCAGCCAAAATTTCACACCCTCGCTTCACGTGGCGTCACAGGCAGTCTAGCCTGGGGTAAAAAGGTCCAGGTCATGTTTTAAGTGGCTTGAGGACACCCAGAGAGTTTGTTAAGTAAACGGCAGAGGCGAGACCTTTGCTTCCTTCAGGATGGGAGAGGATATGCATTTGGTTTTAATATCTGTGTATTTACTTCAGGCAAATTTCCATGCAGATGACACTGGAGAGGCTCTTGCCCCTGGGCTGTGCACTCTCACCTCTCTCCTGACTGCTCTTCATGCTAGAAGGTGGTTGATGTGATGTTGGTGGTCCCTTGGATGGTGGGAAGGGGAAGGTGACACTCCTGAGCTTTGTAGGAGTACCACTGCTGTGGTACCACATCCCCACACCTGATAGGTCCTGAAGGGCTATGAAAAATTCCTAATTAAATTAATTTGCTAGGTGATTTAAGTTACACACCTGGATTAGCTGGCTGTTTTACAGTTGAAGGTGATATGCTGCAATGTGATTAGCACAGAGAATGTTACACCAAAAGCAAGTGGCTAGAAAAGCTCTAAAAGTAATTACAGGCTAATTGAATTGCTGGTAAGATCTTATAATAGCAATAAAATGGACTTGACAACTGAAAGTCTGCAAAAAGCATTCACAGACAGAAGAGTTTGATGTTTGAGTTTCTCTCTAGTAAGAGAAAAACTTTTTTTAAATACCTGTGCCAGGGAATTGTGCCCATCACCTGGGAATGGCACAAGTCCCATGTGGATGGCTCGCCAGGAGTGCAAGGCATGAGAAGAGCTTGATCTCTTTAAAACTTGTTTTCTTTTCAGGATGTCCTTCCAGTCTGTGCACATCTGTGCTGCATTAGTTTTTCACCGTCCTGCTTTATCTGGGACAGCACTGCCAAAAAAACAAGTTTACCCAATTTTTAGCTTCTCATTAAGTTGATCCATGGCTTTCACTAACTGGGGAGGGTTCCTGGGTACCCAGCAGCATTTTAGTGAGGGAGTGAAGGCTCCAATTTACAATCTGCTACATGTGTGCAATTACCCAGACCACCAACGGTGAGAGAAAAATATTAATCCCCAGACTTTTGTTGGTCCCTGTTTAAAATGGTCACATGCCTTTCCCCAGGCCAAGAGCCTCAGGTTTGAGTGGATCTGTTTGTGACTTTGCAGTAATGGCACATCTCCCAGTGTCAGATATCATCCTTAATTTGTCTGGCCTTCCCTCTGTGAAAGCCACGAGTTTTGAGCCTCAGAGCTCCCCTTCTTGTGAATTTAGGCTTTTGGGAGTGCAGGAGCCTCTGTGTCCATCCAGGACAACCTCCCTCTGCAGGCCTCATGCCAGTAGATTTCCTGTGCTGGAATGTGGTTCAAAATGGAGATAAACCATGGTCTTTGGAGACTGTGTGAGGATTAAAATGATGCAGCTCCTTAAACAAGCCTTGGTCACCACCAGATTTCCAAGAGGAAATCTCAGCTGTGACGTGTAAACCCCAAATGGTGGTGCAGCCACTCAGAGAATTTCTGTGCATGGTAGCAGAGCCTGCTCTAGCTTGGCATTTATTTTCTGTTATTACAGTTGTATCTGTCTTTGATAAAGCCTGCTTAGCTGCAATTTCAGCTGCCTTAGGTCAACCTTTGTTTTTGCAAGCCCGGGTACGAGTGAGTTCAAACAATGATACAGCTTCAACTCTTCTTAGTCTAATTGCCATACTTTTCCAGTTTATTAGTTTCCAAAGGTTGTGCCAAGCTTTTAAAAAAGGTAGGCAGGGGAGCCTCGTCTCCTGCTTATGGCTGGCAGGCTGCCATGCTGGGAGGAATATTGCTGGCTGCTCCAGAAGGGGATTAACATGAAGGCATTTTTCTTGACAGTTAATTCTACATATCACAGTCCCTGTGACTACAGAGAGGCAGGGACAAGGGGGCATCCAAAAAAAAAAAAATACACAACCCCACAAAACCTCTGCCTCTATTTATAACTCAGGTATAAAAACATTTGGAGTAATGAATGAAATCCTAAAGCTGTAAATCTGAAGCTTAAAATTTAGGTGTGTAGCGTGACGGAGAACAATTTAAATCTTTGGCTCTTTGGGAGAGGTGAGACATTTGGACTTAATTTCACAGCCTGATTTTCATTAACCTGCCTCTTAAGAGTCATGAGTGTGAGAAGTTGGATCCTCTGCTCCCTGACAGTGATTTATGGCAATACTGTCAAACCTCAGCACCCCTGACACAAGAAAAACATAATCTGCTGCTATGTAATGGCAAGACACCTTGAAATGCCCCAAAATAGCTGGACTTTTTGGAGGCCTTGAGAGGTCTGAATTAGGTCTGCTGGCAGCAAGTTTTGGGCCAGAATTTGAAAAATTTGGGGCTTTCTGTTTCTTCTCTTGTTATGTTAATGATTTTAAGAGAGGAAGATAAGCAGGATGTGGGTTTATTTTCCTCCAAAATCAGTTTGATAAGAGGGTAGTGGGTCTGGCCTCTCCTTCCCAACACACACTAATTCTTTATCTGGTTTATGTCAATTTTCTTCTCCCACTATGCTGGGGTGTTACTTCACTTCTGTAAAGATATGCCAATGTGCTAACCCAAAATTTACTCTTTTGTTTTGTTTATTGGATTTTTCCATAAACAACATGCCAAGCACTGGGAGGGACGAGGGGGAGGATAGAGAGACACTGGGCCATGGTTTCTCCTTCCTCACTCCAGAAGCAGATTCCTGGTTTGAGATCCCAGAGTTGTCTCAGCCCTGCATTCACACCCAGCCCTGCTTTTGCCTGTTGGACCCCTGGATGCTGAGAATTTTGAACTTTCTGTGCTGAAAGGCACAGACCCACAAGAGGATACTGTATTTGAGCTGAGACCATGGAGAAGGCTTCCAAAATTGAATGATAAAACTATGATTACGGGTGTGTGTTTGAATAGGAGTGTGCAATATCACAGGGTGGAAAACTCAGAGTTTAAGGTTTTAGAATATAGCAATATATATGGGGCAAGATGGAGGTTTTAGGGAGGTGGCTGGTCCTTCTTCTTCACCTTCTTCTTCAAGGGTTTGTAATTGGACAGAAAAGTCCTCATAACCCAATAACCAATCCCACATGAGGGATTGGTTATTGGGTTAAAAGTGAAAATAATCTAGGTGTCATTTCTTAATTGGATGGTTTAGCCCTAAAAGACCTTGTAGACAAAGATAGTTAGGCATTTTGTAGCTTGTTGGTAGAGTGCTGCAGAACTCACGACTTGTAAGACTAATACAGATAAGAAATAATACACATTTGAGCCTGAATATGAAATGCCATCTCCAGAGCTTCAATCCCAGCCTTGTCAGAGGCAGAAAAGAAGTTAAAGAATTGACATTTGCCCAGCGTTTTTCCTGCTCTCTGACCTCTCTGTTGTTCTTCCCTCACAGATTATAACGGGAGAGCTTTACCGCATCCACTACCTGAAGGAGAAATCCCGCTCCTTCATCCAGAACCCCTATGTGGCAGCTCTCTACAAGCAAGTGGGCTGCTTTGTTTTTGGCTGTGCCATCAGCCAGTCCTTCACAGACATTGCCAAAGTGTCCGTCGGGCGCTTGCGGCCGCATTTCCTGGCGGTTTGTGACTTGGATTTCTCCACCATCAACTGCGCCAAGGGAGTTTACATCCAGAACTACACCTGCAGGGGAAGCGACAGCAGGGTGCAGGAAGCCAGGTGAGAGCCCCTGGCACCAGGGCCAAGGGTTGCTGACACTAAATGTGGCTCAGGTTTCTCTGTCTGCAATAGAGGATTCGAATCTGAAACTGAGAGTGGGGTTAGTTTGGATGTTAGGATGAAATTCTTCCCTGTGAGGGTGGTGAGGCACTGGATGGATTGCCCAGAGAAGCTGTGGATGGATGCCCCATTCCTAGAAGGCCATCTTAGATGGGGATCTAAACAACCTGGTCTAGTGGAAGCTGTCCCTACCTATAGCAGGGGGGTGGAATGAACTGGTCTTTGATGCCCCTCGCAGCACAAACCAGTCTAGGATTCTATGAAGTGCTGCTTTTTCTGTGAAAGCCATAAATCCATTTTCCAGTGGGCAGCAGTTTCCCTTGGGAAGTGTGGCACTCAGCTGAATAGTATTTCTTTTCCTTTCTCTTTACTCCTACACTATTGTTTCCCTGAGCTGCTGCTCTCTGTGGGAATTCACCCCCAGAGCTGAGCTCATGGTGAGCAGCCCGAGCTGTCCCGTGTGTCACAGCAGAGCTTCTCCTCAGGAAAGGCTCCTCCACACAGGCAGGGCTGCCAGTGCCTCCCCTTGGAGCTCCATCACATCCATCAGATGCCCAATTTTGACTTTGCCAGGGGCACATTCCTCGTGCTGCAATCAGGCTTCTGGAGAAGTTGCTCTCTTCTCATTTCTTTCGGGTTTCCTGGTTATTTGAGGCGAGATGATGAGTTATTGGGTTATCCTGGAAATAACTGCTGTCCCATGGGTAGGCCAGGAAGGGACAAACAATGCAAGCATCCTGTCCATCCGTTTGCTTTCTGCCTCACCAGCAAGCAGGGCGGATAACAGGGCTTTTATAACCAAAGAACTGGGGGTTGTGAGTCCCTCTGGTGTGGCACCCTCAGATGCCACAGGCAAGTCACTGTATTATAGGGAAAATTTTGAGGATTATGCTGGCTGGTTCTGAGCACCTGCTTTGTTTTGCAGGAAATCCTTCTTCTCTGGGCACGCGTCCTTCTCCCTGTACACCATGCTGTACTTGGTGGTAAGTGACCTCACTGAGCTGATTGATCCCCTCTCCCCCATCCCACATTCCATACCAGTAATGGCAGGATGAGCGTTGCAGATGGAAAGTTCGTTGGAGGAGAAGAGTCTGAGCTGTTGGTGGGAGGATCCACCCTCAGCTGCTGTGGTGTTTTTTAGGGTAGATACTCCTGGGATGATAGCTGAGCTGTGTGTGCAGCTTTGGGATGTGGCCAAGGTGGCTATTAAATCCAAATCCTACTAAATTTGTGGACAGCCTGTGCAGTTTTGTTTGCACACTGGGGAGAGTTTGGGGCGAGCCAGAATGTTTCGTGGATGGAGGGGCAGGATGTGCTGCGTGGCCATGTCAGGAGGTGATGCCTGGTTCTGAAATGTGCCAGCAGAGCAGGTGGAGCAGCCTCTGCCCGCCTGGTTCCGGAGGGGAGGGCTGGGACTTGTTTTCCTTTGTCAGTGAGAAATGGCTCTGCCCTTCCTGCTCCTGGGCTGGGGCCAGGGTGGCTGCCAAGGTGCTTCCTGCTGGGACTGCGGGAGGCAGCGCTGCCCACACGGGCTGGACACACACACACACCCCCTTCTGGGGGGCTCAGAGGGATTTGTGCCTGGTTTTCCTTTTTCCTAAGTTATTTATTTCATAAAAAATCAAGTTTTGTGTTGCTTTTAAGATTTGTGCTCCTCCTCCATCCCTGGTAATCTCGGATTTGCAAGCAGAGGAACAGCACTGTGCTGATAAAAACATGAAACATGAGCTTTTATCTATCAGCAGTGCTCCCCCCATCCCTTACCCTCTGGAAAGATAAGTGACCACTGCTCCCTCCAGCCTTTTCAGCCTTGGATCCCCTTCCCTGTGAGCAACTCCTGTAGCTGAATCACTGAGCTTTCCAGGCTGTTGTGGGCGGCGTATTAAATTCTTTCTTTGTTTTCCCTCTTATTTTGTTCTTGGAAAACTTCTGAATTTCTCCAGCAAACGTTTTGGCCGTTTCCTCCCAGCTATTACAATGAAGAGCTGCCTTGGTGATGCTTCACAGGAGGCTCAGCCCATCGTAAAGCTTTCCGAGCTGAGTTTGGAGGCCATCACTCACACAGGCAGTCATTTATTTCTGGGGAGGTCTCTGGCCAGTCAGATAAGTCAGCCCTGAGATATTTTCAAGCCCAGCATCTGGGAACAGCAAGGACTGCCAGTCCCTATTAAGATGGTGATGGCTTCTCTACCAGGGCTTGACCCATTTGCTGCAGGTTGCAGGACAAACTTTCTTTTTTTCATGTGTTTTCTGAAATTCCAGCACTTTTGGAGCAGATGAGAAACAAATGGGAATACAGAGCTTGGTGGGGCAGAGACCCCAAAACTGCAGAATGCCTTCCAAGTTCCCACAGGATGCACAGGAAGCCTGCATGGCTCATTTTACATTGCTGCTTTGCACCAATGCCTGCTGCCTGATGTTCTTTTTAACTTTGCAACAAACTTTAGAAGTGGTGTTTAGTTCCTGTGTGATGCTTCAGAGCACGGAGATGCCTCTGGTCTCTCTTTGCTGCCCTTCCCTGTCCCCATATGGGAGCACTTGAGCTGTCAGCACTCACCAGACTTTGGCCCACACCCCCCAGGACAACAGGCTGCTCCACTTACCCCTCTCTATGCAGGGGGCAATCCCTTTTAAATTATTTTATTTTTAATTTTCACCTTGTCCCAAAACTGTGATATGGCTGGCAGCAGACTCTGCCTGACCAGCTGTCCAGTTGCCTTGTGCCTTAAGAAGTCAGGAAAAATTACATCAAGTATTTGGTGATAAATTGAAGGGAAAAAAGGGCAACTTGAGACAAGACAGGTAAGGCAACAATCTTAAGGCTCTCTTCTACCTAAATTATTCAGTGATTCCAGCTTGTCTAGCAGCACCCTGCTCTCCATCACTCTAGCTCCCTGTTCACTGCCAGAGCCTGACAGAGAAATCTCACAGAAAAAGGGAGGCAGAAAATCAGACACATTGGAGAGGCTGATAATATAAAAAAAATAATTACAAGAAAAAAGAGGTTATAGTAAGCCAAAGGGATTTTATTTTATGCAAGATAAACCCCGCTGTCTTGCCCACCTCAATGAATGATTTGGGGTTTTGAAAGCCTGCTTAGAAATGTGGCATCCACCACGCCAGTGCCTGCAGGAGGTGTGTTTGGTGGGTTTAATCAGGGAACCATCTCAATCAAGACAAAAAGGGTGCTCCCCTGTTCCTGGGAAGTGAGGGCTGTGCTGCAGGAGGCTGCTGCCTACACTTTGGATACCAGGAATGTGCCAGGAGCTTCTGCAGAGCTGGGGTGTCTGTGGGGCTGAGCGTGTCCTGCAGAGGCCTGGCAGATCAGCCGTGTCCCGAGCGTGTTCCCAATTGAACAATACTTCATATTTCAAGGATAAGTCACTTCCCGTCTTTCCTGGCGTTCCCTGGCTTCACTCTTGGAGCCCATTCTGAATTCAGATGTTTTCAAGTTTGCTTCACCTGGTGGAGACGGGTGCCAGAAAGTTCCAGTCAGTCTATGAAAAGATCCATGGATTCCCACGCATCCTGCAGGGCTTTGCCTGCAGCATGGGGCTGGATTTGTCCAGATATTTGGTGAGCAGTGGCTGAGTGACCACAGCTTCCTCATTTCCTGGCACAGCAGCAGAGCCCCGTGCTATCCATGGGCTCCTAGTAGGAAAACACTAGTAGATGCCAAGCCCTGGAGGGCTTTGAGGGAAAAGTCCCAGGGAAAAGCACTTGCAACACAGTGAAATCCCCTGGGATTTAGTTCTGAATGCTGACACTTCAGGGCTAAGTTTCTCGCAGCCTTCTTGTCACCAGGAATACTCAATTAACATCAGGCCTTTGTATAAAAAATTTAAAAGGGGAAATAACTCTTGGGTAATCGTCTTTGTCCTAATTTTCCTTGCTTTGTTACTCCTTGGCTGAGCGAGCTGTAATACGTATTTATAGCAGGCTGGGGAAAGAGGAGGTATGGAACAGCTTATTCCATGCAGCCCTCTGGAGCTGACCCACACCTCTTTGTCTTGTTTCTGTGGATGTGGGGGAGTCTTTGCAGGGAGTAATGGATGCTTTCCACTCCCCTGGAGCATGTGAGACTGTAATTTATTTGCAGCATGAAGTTGCCTGAAATCACACAAAGGGTTGGTGCAGAAAAGCTAAATTTAAATATCAGTAAAGTTGAATATCCCTCAGCAATATTGGCTGATTCTGGATAAAATGCAAGCCAATTTTGTGTATTTATTATGTGTCAGTGGGTGAGGCAGAAGACTTCAGAATGGGTTGTGGTGAGTTCTACTGGTGTAAATGGAAAATGAGAGGTGGTGCTGGGTTTATGCATCAGGGGAGTGTGAGGCTTCTCCCTGGAGCTCCTTGCTGAAGGAAAGAGAAAGTGCCCTGGTACAGCTGAGCAGTGATGTGCCCTTGTGAAGGAACCTCTGTGGTGGTTGAGAACTTGGAGTTGAGTTTAGTGGCGACCTAAGGAAGAGAATAAAATGGAATTACATCAGAGGCCAAGGCTGAGCTGCGAACTGAGCTGCTGGGGATATTTCTGATGGGGTGAGAGGCTGCTGTGCACTCAGCAAAGGCAGGGAAGAGGCAGACAGCACATGCTGAGAGGTCTTTGCCCATCTCCTGTCCTTCCCTTCTGGCCAGCTTGGTGCTAAAAGCCAAATTGTGCACTCCCCAACTTCCAGCTGGCTTTGTCCAGCCAGCGCAGTGCTTTACACTGGGATGAGTTTGGGCTGGAGAGGTTTCAGCCCTGCAGCACTTTGGGTACCACTCTGCTTTGCAGATGGGACTGGAGAAGGAATGGTGAAGGAATGGAGAAGGAGGTCACTTGGGGTCAGACAGCCAGCAGCAAGCCCAGCTGTTTCCCAGAAGGAAACTTCAGGTGTGACTGAGGGGTTGATGGAGTGCAACCCTGCTGCGGGGAGGGCGTGAAGGGATTTCTGGAGAGCAGAAAGGCCTGGGAGGCTGGAGGTGATGCTCTGAGCCTGTGTCCCCTGCCACCTCCTCCTGGGCTTGCTCAGAGGCTGTGGGCACTCCCCAGCAGCACTGTGGAAGTCCCCTGGCACAGGAAGAATGATGTGACGTGCCCCAAACCATCTGCTTTGTGGTAACTCAGCCTCTGCCAGGAGACAGCGGATGGGAACTCCAAATAACTCCCACTCTGTGTGATCCCATTTCTCCCACCCTTGCTCCTGTTGGTGCTCCTGGTTTTCACTGCCCTGTGATGATCTGTGGTGGAAATAACCCTGGTTGTGGTCTTGGTCTTCCACCCCCTCCTGGGAAGGGCTCCGTTCCAGCTCCACATTCCCATCCAAATCTGTCAGTCTGTAGCAGGCAGCACTTCAGATTTGCTCCCAGGAAAAAAAAAAAAAACAAACCAACCAAATGAAAAAAACCCACCAAAAACACCTTCATAAGCAGATTTTCAGATAAATTTCCAGGAACTTCCCATTTCTTGGTAATAGCACTAATTCCTGCATTAGGGAAATTCTTATCCTTTCAGCCCCTGAATTCTACTTTCACTTTTTGACCTTGTCATATTAACTGGGTTTTTCTTTCATACAGAGGGCAGAGGCAAAGTTTGGAGCACCCCAAGTCTTACCTTGAGAGTATTTAGGGGATCCTAGTGCTTGAGAGCAGCTTTTGTAACACTGCATGTTCATAAAATGCCTGTGGAATATGAGGAGTGCTGTTAAGCTCTTTTGTTGTCCTTATGAATGGGGAATAAAGAGCAATTTTTCCATGGCCTTTATTGTGGCAACAAAAGGAACTCATCTGAGCTCCTCACATTGCTGTTGCAATGTCTGAGGGGCACAGGACTAAACCTGTGGGTTTTAGTTCTCCAAGATAGGCAGGTGTGGGTGCGACTTGGATGCTGGGGACTTGGGAGACACCCAGCACACCCCCTCTGGTGCCACACTGCTTTTTGCTCCTTTTCCAGGGCTGAGGATTGCACATGAGGGACACAGTTCAGCCCCAAAAGTGCCTACTTAATTGTGTCTTCAAACTTGCTGTTTGCTTTTTATTGCTAATTTTTAACTGATACTTTGCACCCTCACCTCTAGATGACTTTTTTAGTCCAGGCTTGTGGGGTGGAAAGATTTGAGAAGATGTCCAGACTGTGCAAAAGTGGCAACTGTCAGATTATACAGCAGCAAATTCCCTTCTTAAGTGATTTGATGGGACAAAGACAGAAGATTAAAATAAGTCATCAGGTCTCAAATCTTCCTGCTAGAGCTGAGAGTGATGCTTTATAATATATAATACTTGGTGCTGTTTTTACACTGTCACTTGGGCTGAGTTGAGGCTCTTGAACATGAAAACAGAATCATGGAATGGTTTGGGATGGAAGGGACTGTGCCATGGGGTGTGGGATGTGCTCCATGGGGCCATGGCTCCGTTCCCATCCTCGGGCTGGTTTGCAAATATATTCCCCAGAATCACCATGTGCATTAGCCAGCACTGAGCTGTTCTGGTGCTGCTCCCTTCCATGTTAATTGGCTAACAATCTGGATAATTTGGAGCATCTGCTCCATTCAGACAATGTGATGTTTCATTTCTTCTGAAGAGCCCAGTGTGTGTTCTTTCCAAAAAGGGGTAGATACAGTGTTTATGCAACAGCCAAACATACTGAATTAGCCAGAATTATGCTTCCCCCTTATCAGCTTCCCAGTTAGTTCTGCTTTTATATGTCATTTTATGCTTTTATGTTGTCATTAAGTTATTTGTGGTTTCAGGGAAACCAGTGAGAGCTTCATCCCCTTTCATATCAAGGTGGTGCAAACTGCTCTGGGTGTGTAAAAGGGATCATAAATGGGGAGTAAACCCCTTTGCAGCCCTCTGATGTAGCAGACCCCTTGAAGGACAGTGGGGCTGACTCCAGTGCTGCATTTAGGAGGAGGCAGAGCAGAGCTGCGGGGCTGCAGGAGCCGGGCAGCGTTTGCCAGGCACTTTCACACCCTTTGAGCCTCGCTGCTCCCCAGGCCTGGAGGCTGCTGCGGCGTCCCTCCCTTCCCACAGCCTTCCTCCCTGCGCTCGTCCACGGCAGGAGTTGCTGTTTTCCTGCCCTCTCTTCCCGCCCAGCTTCCCCGTTCCCACAGGAACCGGCCGTGCCCGGCAGCCGGAGCGGAAGCGGGCCCGAGATAGTCACGGCAGGGCCACAATGTCTGCCTGACATCACCCCAGCGTCCTCCTCCGGGGCTCTGCTTGTCATTCCCACCCAGGGAGGGAATTCCCAGGCCATGCACTGGGGCAGCTGCTCCCTGTTTCCCTCAAACCCCGCGGCTCGGGCCGGGGAACAGCATGGGAGTGTTGGAGGGTGGCATTGTGCACTTTGTTGGTGGTTGTGGCCATGTCTGGCAGTTCTCGGGATGGCTCTGAAGGTTTAGCATGCTGCATTGTCTCTTGTTTTCCCTCTGAGAGATGGTATGAGTCCTAAATATCCCAGATTTGGGACCTTGATTTTGTTATGTTTAGTTATGCTGGGGAGGAGTTTCTTTACTGGGATGCTGTGCTGTGTGGAGGTGGTAACAGAGCTGGGGTGCAGGGGACCCCAATCCCCTGTTTGTCGCTCAGTGAGGGAGGGCTGTGCCCATCCACCTCTGTCCTCATCCCGTCCACGGGTTAAAAATCCCTCCAGAGGCCACAGAGGTGCAAGGAGCATCCTTCCATTTTGTCAACTCCCCCTCCTTGAGCCACAGGGCCTTGGCTACCCCACAGCCTCCTCCACAGAGCAGTCACTGCTGCATTTTGGGCAAATTTGTGTAAATAACGCAACCTTTTTTGTTTGTTTGTTTCCCTCTCTTGCCACAGTTCTATCTGCAGGCCAGATTCACGTGGAAGGGAGCCCGCCTGCTGCGTCCCCTGCTCCAGTTCACCCTGATCATGATGGCGTTTTACACCGGGCTGTCCCGCGTCTCCGACCACAAGCACCACCCCACCGACGTGCTGGCAGGCTTTGCACAGGGAGCCCTGGTGGCTTACTGCGTGGTGAGTGGGGAAAGATGGGCAGGAGCAGTGCTGGGAAGGTCCTGTGGGAATACCAGGGCCCTTGCAACCCACCAGTTCAGCTCAGGTGATTCCCTGTTACAGCTGGGGATGTGGTGGGAGGCTCCAAAGGCTTGATCCAGGCAGCTTGGGGCACTGAAAGATGTTCAGTCAAGGGAGGGTGTTTCCCTCTCCTCCAGAAGCTTTGGCTTCTCCAGCTAGGCTCATTTGCAAGTTTTTCTACCAGGAGCTGAGCAGAGTGTCTGGGGTGCTTGGCATTATGGCTCTTCCACACACAATCCATCCAAAAACTGGTGTCAGACTGACCAGGGGAGGTGGCTGATGGATTTTCAGGGAGCAAAAAGGCTCATGAAAAAGAGGCCAGCAAAAGCTGTGCCCACTTCTCTTCAGCTGCTGGGCTGGTTCTCATGCCACTTGCTCTCCAAAGGGTGACCTGATTGCACAGCCCTGTAACTCAAAGTGACATGTGAAGATGTTTTAAATTGGCAGGATGGGGGGGAACCAGGTCAGGCAGCTGCCTCAGACAGACACAAAGGAGCTGGGGCCTGTGGTGGTTTCTGTGTCTGTGTGAACTCCCCAAAAGCAAGATTCTAACAGCTCACACACGTTTTGTGGGTTTTTTGTTGGTTTTGGGTTTTTTTTAACTGCTCTAAAAGTAAATCAGCCATGGGAACAAGGAGTTAAGTTCACCAATATTATATTTTGCAGGGAGAGAAAATAGGTTATTTATGTACTTCCCACTGGTTGATAATATTCCAAAGCCAAAACAAAAATGGCATTGTTGGGACATTTTCATGGAGTATTATTAACTCTGTGAGCAGTAGCTGTTGGGTTTTGCCTTTGCCTGGTGCCCGTGTCCCATGCAGGGCTGGCAGATCCCGGGGGGGAGGTGGGAGCAGTGTGTGTCTTTGTGGTGGGAAGTGGGATAACAGCCAGAGTGTGGAAGGGGAGTGGGGAGCAGGCAGTCCATCCCTGGTCCCAGCAGTGGCTGCAGAAGGACAATAGCTCTCCGGATGCTTGGGATGGGTGTCCGGATGCTTCCTGGCTGGGACGAGCTGCAGGCCTGGCTGTCCCCTCCCAGCCCTCCGGCAGCTGGGAGCTGTGCTGGGAAGGGGAGGCTGTGGCAGGGCTGGGATAGTTTTCCTGTGTCATAGGAAGCAGCTGCCTTGAGTTTCCCAGGCAGGCTGGGGTTTGCTGCAAGCCTGGGGCAGCCTGAGCTGCTCTCCCAGCCTGCTGGTGAAGGAGCTTTGCAGGAATGGCTCAGTAACCTGGAACATCTCAGGCCTCAGCTTGGGACTCAGGGCAGGGTTTGAGCCCAGCCCTTGTCCCATTCTATCAGCCTGCAGAGAACCAGCTGTTCTCCAGAACCTGACTTTGCTGGGGGGAGTCTTTGCCTGGTGGGGCCTGGCAGACTTTCCTTCATTTTGGGAGGTGGCAGCAAGGACAAGAGGAAGAGTAATCCCAAAACATCCTAGAGTTTGCACTGAAGGAGCAGTTTAGCAGCTTTTTGCTGAAATTCCTGGTATGTCCTGTGGGTTCTTGCCCAGCTCTCCTGCACGGGCTGCTATGAAACAGGGGGAAGGACCTGGAGATACATCACCTCCCACCCTGGGTGCTCCTGGCCACCCCTTCCCCCAGCACAGCCTTCAGGGTCTACCCTGGTGATAGTCAAGGGCTGTAAAAACACCAGTTATCAGGCCATAATTTTCAGTAGAAACCAATTGTGGATTTCATCTCCGAAGGCTGCCCGAGCTTAAACCCAGGTCGTGCTGCAGCAGACGTTTGTCGTTCAGTGCCTGAAATAACAAGCAGAAGACATTAATGTCAAGCACTTCCAGCTGATGAAACATTCAGACTTGGAGCCAGGGTGAAATACAACGAGGATTTCTCAAATAGAAATAGTTTTTATGCGCCTTGCAGGCAGCTTGCTGTGTGTTGTGTGGTTTATGTCTCATCTGAGGGAGAGGGAGAAGGGGAGATGTCAGAAGGACATGCTCCCAGTGTTGCTCTGGTTAGCTCAGAGGAGTTGTTTTAACCTCTCTGTATATGATTAAAAATTGCTTCAGTAGGATGAAAAGTAATAGGAATTGTTAAGTGGGAATGTGAGATATTGGCTTAAAATGCTCTCAGTCTTCTCCCATCAAGTTTTCTTTATGGGTGGAGAGCACCTTCTACAGGAAATGGAGCTAATCCAAGTGAAAAACTTAGCACGTTTATTAGTCCTTTTTTTGTGTTAAACAGTTCAAGCATTAGGAGGATTTAACACACTTTTAACCCCCAAAGATCACGTTTCATGATTCCTATAAATGTTTATATAACCTCCAGCCATGTTAAAGTGAAATACAGTTTAAAGAGAAATGAAACCCCTTAACCAGTCTTTCAATGAAACCTGAAAAGCAGCACAGTAAAAGCAAAAATAGCCAGGATGACACTCCACCATAACTTATTCCTGTCAAAAATAAGGATCAGACTCAAGGCAATCCCCAGATGCTTCTTGCACTCAGCAATCCCCTCCCATAAATTGATTTGTCATGGCTATCTTGGTGCAGAAGCTGAACACCTTTTTGATTGAATCCAGCTCTCAGAGGTAGATGAATGAGTGAGATGGCACCAAAATGCACCAAACCAGACAAATGCGGTTATTAACAGCCCAAAAGAAAACCAGAGCCAGAGCAGTTCAATGTAATTTTACACTGGGATGCTGCAGCAAGGGGCCAGACTTCAGCTTGTGATCCTCTGGAGCATCAGCTGCATCCTTTATTTACCCAAACATACAAAGGCTGCCACTTGGATGTCCTGTAAACAACTTTTATCAGCTCTGTTACACAGCCAAACAGACAGACACCAGCACATACATCAAGAAAAGAGCTGTTTTGTACATCATCTCCTTCTCTGCTTTTCCACAAAGCAGCACCAGCTCAGCTTCCTTCACCCTGGTTACAGTTGTAGGAGTAAATTGCTGCGTACAGCAGCTTTGCTGGCTGTCCAGCTTGAGCCTTATCTGCTGTGCTGATAGTGGCCTGCAAAAGTCATTTGCAAGGACAGCTTGACCTGCTGCACAAGGCTCTGGGTTTTAGAAAATGTGGAGATGCAGGTAGGCCAAACCTTTGCTTTCTTCCTGTGTTACCCAACCTGGAAGTTGTAATCTGATATTATTTCTTTAAACACCTTAGAATTATTTTTTTCCCCTGATTTATCTGGGTGCTTAAATGCATTTGAGTAGTGTGAGGGAAAAAACAAATGTAATGCCAATTCCTACAGCCGTGTGCTACTCATCCTGGGATTTCAGCTCAGCAAACCCATGGCTTCAGTTGGGATTATTGGGGTTTAAGGCTTTCTGAGATGAGCTGTCAAATTTGGGCTGGCAGGGACAGTCGGTGGCAGGACGGAAGTTTGGGGCTGTGGCTCCAGGTGACAAAATGATGAATCCTTGCCACTTCTTGCTCCATCCAGAGGATCTGTGCTGTCTGACTCTTTTCCCTTCTGGCATGGGGCTGAGGTTTGGCAAGGGTGAAAGTGCCTCAGTCCTGGAGGACTGATAAGCTTCGTGCTGCTGCCAAAGGAGGATGTGGAAGTTTCCTCCCAGCACTTTGTTTCTTATTGTGTTGCTACCTTCCGAAATTGCCAGGCTCTGGCTTTTTCACATCCGGGAGAGGGGTTACATCACGGGATATTTAGGAAGAAGGAGTCAGGAATAGATTCTCCTCTCCTTAGCCTTTGGCTTCCACCAGACCCCAGCTCTGTACTGGTGCCTTGGTGGGGCATGAGGAGCATGGCTCACCATTGACTCACTGCCGATAGCATTTGACACAGTTTTGACTTGAAAGCTTTTAATTGCCTACCTGATATCCCTGTGAATGAATTATTTCACTGACTCCATCCCTGAAATCACTCAGGATGAGTCAGGCCAGCCCTTTGGAGACCTTTGTTATTTTATTGGAGTGCAGGCCATGGATCTGTTTCCTGGCTTTTCAACCCGTTCAGCAGAGGTCTGGGTGTTGCACTCGGTGATGACGCAGTGAGAAATCAAGTTTTCCTCTCATGTTTTTACAGTTCTGTGAGGTCTGAGCCTTTTCTCTGCTGTACAGAAAGGTGGTAGCAGGTGCTTGGGATTTCACAGCTGTTACAGGCAGGAATTGAAAAAGTGCTATTTTTGCATCTTAAAGATGTGTATATATTCTGTAAACCAACTTTTTGAACAAACCATCACCCACTGTGGCTAAGTTTGCCTTTTCTGCTTATTCCTGCAGGTGTTTTACGTCTCAGATCTCTTCAAGCCCAAGACAAAGACTTGCCTGCCTCCACCTCCCATCCGGAAGGAGATCCTTTCACCTGTGGACATCATTGAGAGGAATAATCATCACAACATGGTGTAGAACTTCGAGGAACCAGATGGGTGTTGCATTTTAAACTTTTTTTTTTTTTTTTGCAAAAAAAAAAGTGACTGCTGACAGCAACTACCTGCTGCTCTCAAATCTCATCAGACAGTAGAATGTAGGGAGAGACTTTCTTGCCCAACCAGTAAAGTCTTACTCTGTGGTCTTTTCAACTTGCGACATTTGGATGAAAGGGGTGGTGGTGGTCAACTAAGGCAAAGGCGACAATGAGAAAGGAAAAAACAAAGCAACCCACACTACACAAAAAGCTGAACAAGCAAAGAGAGGTGCCGGAGTTCTGGATGTGCAATTGGTTTGAGTGTTCATGTTGTAGTGAACGCCAAATTGTTCCCAGCCCAGTGAACACTAAGGGATTTTTGGAAAGCTGGCCATCCTAGGTTTTTTTCTGACTATGAAGATTTCCAATGCCTGCGAGAAAAAAAACCAACTCACGACTAAATTGTATAGCACTATGTATGAGCAACAGCACTGAGTCAAGATCTGGGATTGGTTTGTAAAGAGTTGCATTTTTCTCTTCTTGATCCTAGTTTATTTTTGCCTCCTCTCTTCCATACTGTGACTTAATTTAGAAGAAGCTTGCCCAGTCCAAGGTCTCCGAAGGGTCTCTGTTCTCTCTGCTCACACTACACTCCTTTAACGAGCGGCCCGAGGCGCACAGCGAGGCCGGAGAGCTCCTTCCTCCGCACAGAGAAGCCACACTTCTTCCTCCCCGCTCGCTCCCTGGCGAGGGCTCATCCCACCCGAGCCCCTCTAGATGAAAAGAGCATCCTCTACTTCCCAGCCATCCCCTTTCCCCCGAAGGAAAACCCCAGCAGGTTTCGTGCGCGCCCGCCCGCGGGAGCTGGCGGTTTGCGCCAGGGCAGCGGAGGCTCTGCCGAAGACTCGTTCGCACTACGACCCCGGGGCTGAGTCCCGGGGAAACTTTTATTCTGCAGTTTTGGGACGGGCTGCTGGGCGGCACGTCCCGGCCTGGGTGTCAGTCAGTTTGTGCATCCCCTCCTCTCCTCCTCCTCCTCCTCCTCCTCCTGCTGCTCCCTGGGGCACCCCGGGGTGCGCCACGGCAGTACCAGGTCCTGTGCTCCGCTGGGTCACTCCGGTGGGAAATCAGCTGTGCCTCTCTCGGGTGTGATGATGACATTTTTTTTTTGCCCAGAAGCCACAGGTGCTTGGTTTGCAGCCCTTCCACAAAGCGCATTTGCAAAGGGATCCCGCAGAACACGCAGAACGGCCATTTGCACATCCTTCTCACAGAATCCGTCCTATCATTTCAACTTATAGCAAGCTATGATTTTTTTTATATTATAAATATTATATAAATAATGTATAAAACCTTAAAAATTAACTATGTAAAATATTATTTCTGAAACAATTTTAGATATATCCACTATGACTATAAACTGTGTCCTGACCTGTGTTATTTACATTTTGCTGCTTAAAAAAGCATTGAATTAATTTTTTTATAGTCGACTAAAATATTGTAGTTCTGTGGTAGTAATATTTTAATGAAAATAACTACAATTAGAGACATTTGTATAAAAAAAACATATTAAATTGTCTGTATTTTTGTAATGTTCCATTTTGTAAAGAGAAGAATATTCAAAGACTTTTGTAGAATACAAAATTGAAGTTTGTATCTGCGAAATTATTGCTGTATAAATGTGCTTTTTAAATAAAAGCTCATAACACAACTAAACATCCTGGTGCAAGCTGCATTCTGTCTTTGGGTTGTCCCCTGCCAGAAAAAGAAGGTCGTTGGACAGTTGGAGGTGTGATGTGGATGTGGGATGGCATTGGGGATGTGATGGTAGAGGAGGACAGCTGGATAAAAAGGACCAGGTGCCATTTTTGATGAGAGTGATGAGAAGGTCCCACCACCTCCTGCATGGGGGCACGTGTGTGTTTGCATTGATCTTCTCTTTTCTATGTCCAATCTTAAAGTAAATCCCATTTTACTGAAGGCATTGTCTTTACTTTAGCAATCTTATGAGCTTTAAAGAAATTATGGAAGTAAAATAAAGCCTGAAGAGCCACAGCCCAGCTGTCCTGGACAACCCCTGCCTAGGAGGGCTCCCAGCTATGCTCTGCACAAACACCTTTCTCATGAAAAGCAGGCACTTGGCAGCTGAACCAAAATCTTGCAGCTTGCTGGGTTGCAAATGTAGGTTGGAGGGGAAAGAAGAAAAAAGAAAAAAATCTCACAACAACACATGCTCAGAGAGGCACATGTGCTCAGCACACATAAGTTATGAGGCAGCCTGGATTTTTTTTATTATTGTTTTTATTTTTATTATTACTGTTTTTATTTTTTTATTATTGTTATTTTCCTCCTCCTACAGAGGCAAATGAACTTGTTGGTGGTGACACACGGTCAGAGCCGCGTTTCGACCACTCCTTGAGTGAACCACATCAGCGAGATAACACGGCACAGAAATAATATGCAAGAATGCATGACAGGAAGCAAATACCACATCAAACTGCAAAGAAAGAGCAGGTGGAAATTAAGCCAGCAGAACTGAGCTTGCACTTGCTATTATTATCCTAATTAGGAGTAAAATTTTATTACGCATGGAAAAACTTCGTAAACCCGCACCTGTCCCAAATGCAAAGGGAGTTCTCCTGGTGCCACGTGTGAGCGGAGCCTGAGTGTTTGGAGGTTGAGTGTGTTGCAGAGGTGAGACTTCAGCTTCGGGGCAATGGCTGTGAGGACAGGCTCTTAATCCCCAGTTTATCTCCCAAATGCATTGCCTGGGTGTAAGCAACCCCCACGGAGAAGGGAACACTGCCCTATATGCTTGTAGAGCCCTCCATGTGCAGAGCCAGCCCCAGTGCAGCAAGCAGCAGGCTGAGAAAAGCATTTGCTTGCATCTTAACCCTAGCTGCCTGGAAAAAGCCAGGAATATAGATGTCTGGGTGAAAGAGGAGGGCTTGGAGAAGGGTCAGAGGGGAAGCAGAACAGGAGGGGATAAGAGCCCGGGCAGGGCAGCGGGGCTGGTGACTCACAGGATCTCACTCAGGATGTGTGGGACAGCCTGGAGAGAGGGAGAAAAGGCCGTGGATAAACCAACAGGGTTGAGCTCTATGATGTGGGGCTGAGCATCAGCAATGCCAAGTCCTATTTGTGGATGGTTGAGTGATAGTTGTTTTCTCCTCTGCTTCCTGCCCGCCTGTCCCATTCCATCCCATCCCATCCTGGGGAGGGTAAGGGCAGCTTTGCACAACTGGGTGGAACTTTGCTGGGGCTCACCCCTGCTCACTGCCTGGGGATTAAGAGAAGTGATCATTTCTGGCAGTATGGGTGGAAAAAGGCAAGGTCCTCGGAGAGCTCTGGGCTAGCCAAGCACAGAGGAATGTTCCAGTGCTACAGGAGGACTAAGGACTGATTTTAAATGAGTGTTTCAATGAAACCCCACAGAGAAGTGAAAGCCAAGGGAACAGAGTTGTAGGTACCGCAAACCATGAGTGTGTTGACAGGATGTATCTACTGCCACAGCTTCCTGAGGGGCAGGAAGGAAGAGAAAATAAATAGGTGAAATGGAAAAAAACCCAAACCCAAACCCATGTGAGTGCTGGGATCCTGAGGCCACCACTTTCTGTCATGTCTGCAGGTGCAGTTGGAGCTTGCACCTTGCACTGCTGTGCTGCTTGGTCCTTCCTACTGGGATGCTGAGCAGCCAGGACACTCTGGGGTTTGCAGCTCTCCCGAGGAGGCAGACGGGTGTACAAACCCAGATGCACTCATGCAAACAAGGCATGCTGCTGGAGCCCGGGGCTGGGTGCTGGTTGTGGCCTTTAGTGCTGCAAACATCGGGCTCTGCTCATGCTGATGCTAATCAGGGGCTGCGGAGCACCCAGCTGTCTGCCTTTGATGCTGGGGCCTGGCTGGCAGAGCCTCTCTGCACAAGGGGACGTTCTGGTCAAACCTGTCTTTTTTTGCACTGAGACTGGTTGAACACGTTTTCAAAGGCAGGGATTCGTGTGTGCACCTGACTGCCATGGGAGCAGGTCTTTTGTTCCAGGGGAAGGGAGGTTTACGCAAGCCCCAGGTCCGGCCGTGTCTGGGTGCACCTAAACAGCTTCACTCAGCAAGAATGCCTTGGCAGCCTGCAGATGCTGGAGCTGTTGTACTTCTGCTCAATGATTTTCGGATATGAAGCTCTCAATCAAGGGAGGGGGAGGGAGGAGATTCGCCCCACAAGCAGAGACCTGTTTTTCTCAGGCTCCAAGCCTGCCTTGTTCTGGGTGTCCGAAGGTTTCACCCAGCTCTGCGTAAAGCCGAAACCAACGCTCATCCATAGAGCCAGAGGATGTGCTGGGCTGAGGTCCTGCTGCACAGGAGGGCTGGTGTCAAGCCCACATCCAGGCTGGGGTGCAGCACAGCTGTCCCTGGAGCCAGCACCCCACTTCAGCTGCATTTCCCCTGCCCCATCTTTGCCTTGACACACCCTTGCCTTCATCCACCTTTCTCCTCTCAAAAGGCAAGCGATTCCTCCCTTGTGCTTACCTTTTCCTCTGGACACCAGATCAGAGGTTCAGATTTTTAGGAATGAAGTGAATCACTTGCCTCCTGGCTTCTGTAAACATGGTCCATACACCTGCCCTCAGATAGGAGCTACTGCCCATCTCCTCCAGACGTTCCTACCCTTGTTCCTGCATTCCAGGTGATGCTCTGGGCACAGCCCTGACAGCTTGGATTACCCAGCAAAACTGAACAGAACTTGTCACCTTCGCTGGAGGAATCAGAAGGTAGAAAACAACCTCCTGTTGACTCAGAGGAGGGGGGAAAAGACACACAAACAAACCCCAAAACCCAACAACTTTCAATTATCACCTTTGCACGCCACCCCCACTGGCACCAGCCGGCGCAGGAGTGCCTGCGTTAGCTTGTCTCGAGTTACAATTTCCTCGGGGCACAGACTACACCTATGTGTGTGTTTGGGTAATAATGATCCGACTGGTTGTGATGAGTCCACGCCCCATCCTATCTGTAGCTAGAAGGGAGCGAAGTCACCGGGATCATCTCCCAGTTTCCTTAGAAAGTCTCGTTCTGCGAGTTCCTGCCCTGCTGGAGTGCCACCGTGGCGGCACCTCGCAGGCAGCTCTGCTTTTAATATATAGTGCTGTGGCCTGGTGGAATGTTTAATTCTTGTCTTGAACCCAGAAAATAACCGTCTTGGCTTCTTTATTTATATTTTTCCCCCCCAATTTCGCATCAGGTGGCTCTCAGAGCTGCGTTTTGGTGAAGCGCGAGGCTGCCCGGTTATTCAGCGCTGGGCACCTGTGGTGTCTGAAGGCATGAACTCTGCAGGGTTTGATCTGACTTTGTGCAGAGGGTTCATAACCAGCAGGAACAATGGGCTGTTATTTTAAAAAAAACACCTTTTAGTGTTTCCACGTGTCAGCAGAAAGTTGAGGAACAGAACCACCAAAACACCAAACTGCGTACACACGCATCCACGGATGGGATGAATGGGAATTGTGGTGGATTCAGCTCGCTCCTGAAGTCTTTGAAATTATTCAAAATATACCAAAACTTGAAATAAAACGTGACTTGTCTTTCCCACCTGAAAAATGAATGAATTGAAACAAAGCCACCTGCTCATTTGTACGGGAACTGGTGTGAAAAGCTGGGCTTTCCCACCACGCTTTGACATCTCCATTTCCAGGTGTGTGGTGTGAGTGCATGTGAGCTGAGATCAGCCTGAGATATAAATTAAATAAAGGAGTATTTAATTCTTGCTAGCCTGATCTTTCCCCTGGAGAAACACCATGAATGGAACAGAAAGAATGGTGCTGTTTCAATAAGGAACTCAGAAAGAAAATAAAATGTTAAAAAGAGAATAAAACTCTTTTTATTCAAAGAAGAAAGGGAGCCAGATCTCCTGTTAGCACCATCCTTTCAAAGGGATCTGCCTTCTGCACAAGTGCGTAATTTGCTTATTTTCAAAGAAATTTTAGTGATGTTGAAGGCAAATTAATAACACTGCTCCAGCCTCCCAGGGCTTGTCTGAACAAGAAAAGTTGTTAATGTTTAATATGAGGTAAAATTTTAATCCGTTTCATTAAACTGAGTAGATATTCTTAGTCCATTTTTAAGCAGGATTAACCATGTTTACCTCAAGTCAAGTAAGCACAAGTATAATGTCAACTGATACAAGCCTTGCTTAAATTAAAGGAAGAATACTACCAAGGCTTAGGGGAGGGAAAAGCCTGTTGAAGTTTTTATTTAAAACAAAGAAATGGGGATTTTTTTTTTCTTTACAAGGTATTTCTTTCCATGGGAAAACAATAAAACCCAGAAAAAGTCTATGAATGTTTTGCTTGTAAATGATGAGACTATTGCAGCTGAAAAAACACTGCTTAATTCAGGAGAGGTAATTCTTTTCAGCATTGAGTGGATCTGGGGTAGTCTGGGCCTGTTGGACTTAGCAGTTCCAATTCACCCATCTAAGAGTCACCAGCATTGTCCATCAACAAATTAATGCTGCTCCAGCCCTCTCTCAGGAATCATCCAGCAGCTCTTAGATTTAGCTTTGTAGCCTATGGCCAAGGTACTGCAAGTCCTTTAAGAAGAAATCCAGGCTCAATGTGGAGGTGCCAGATTAAAAGGGATTTACCACATCCCTTGGCCAGCTGTCCCACCAGCTCGCTGGCCTCACTGTTAAAAATATGTTAATACTTCCCTTGGTTTTCATT